TATCATGACCCCATTTAAGGCTCCAGAAGTTGTAGTAGAGATTGATGATATCCACAATAGGCGGCTTGCGAGTAATGACTTGTAGGCTGACGTTTGGTGTCGTCCTGTAGGCCTTTGAGATAAGTAGAAGGGCCCTGCGCTGGGAAGAGATAAGTTTTCTTTTGAGGTGGACTTTATGTGCAGCCCACCCCCAGCTACCACAAGCATAAGTGACAATGGGTACATATATCTGATTATAGATAAGGCTGAGAGCATCGGATTTTAACCCCCACTTGCTCTTTGCAATCTTTGCAAAAGCATTGAAGATTTGACCAGTACGTTTAGAGATGTCTTTGATGTGTTCGTCCCAGCTCAGGCGATGGTCCAGTAGCACGCCCAGGTATCTTATGGATTTCACAACCTTAATACTCTTGTTGTCCATTTTAATGGTGGGCACGCGACGATAAAGGTTGGGGTTGCCTGGTTTGTTCATTACCATTGCCCTGGTTTTATCAGGGTTAAAGTGGAATACACGAATACACGAATACAGTCGACCCCCTATAACACTGTTGATTTTTCCGTTTTATATGAATTCCGTGTTGTACGAGTCACTTAGATTTTACAAATACGTGTGCCGGGCTCTGAACGGCTCACATATTTGTAAAATCTAATTGACTCGTACAACACGGAATTCATATAAAACGGAAAAATTACTTTCGGATGTTTTCGATAAATCTTTCCATATCTATTGTAGAGTAGTTACGAGGGAACGTACACAAAAGCTCGTTTCCGCCATTTTCGTACCGTGTCACAATGACCTAGATTTCACTGATTTCTGATTGGTGGATGGTACCGTTTTACGGCCGTATTCGTGTCGAAAGTTGAACACTGCTCGACTCGCTTTTACGATGGTTTTACGACCTGCTCGAGCGTAAAATATCAGGGTCACGTGATTAAAAGATTTTACGGCGAGGGGTTTTTTACGCCAGTGGAGTCTTGGCCTTAGAATTTTTAAAAAAATCCGCAATTTTTTTTTTTAACGTAATTTGTTCCTTATTTTTTGAAAACCTAAATTAAATAAAATTTGATACAATTTCATGGTGAACTCAGGATATGTTTTTCTTCCAATTAGAAGGTTTTCAAAAAAATNGACAGATTTGGAATAAGCAGAGGACATGCCTATAGAGAATTTGTATATTTTATTAAAACCGTGTCTTCGTTAAGATCTAAAATTATTGTTTGGCCCAAAGGTGAAAAAGCTAAAAGCACCATAAGGAACTTTGAGACCTTACGAGATATAAGCTTTCCAGATGTAATTGGATGTATAGATGGAGCCCATATATCGATATCAGCCCCAAAAGCATCAAAAAATGCATATTTTAATAGAAAGCAGTATACATCTGTAATTCTTCAAGCAGTATGTGATTCCAAATTATTGTTTACAGATGTGTTTGCAGGGTGGCCAGGATCTTCACACGATTGCAGAGTTTGGAGCAACTCACCACTATGTGAAGCCCTAGAAAAAAACCCTATGATTCCAGAAGGGGCCCATCTCCTTGGAGATGGAGCTTATCCACTTTCTTCAAGTATGATGATACCCTATAAAGACAATGGTCATTTGACAAGGAAAGAGAAACTTTTTAATCAAATTTTAAGTTCGAGTAGGGTCGTCATTGAACAAGCATTTGGACAATTATTTGGGCGATTTAGAAGACTAAACCATTTGTTTATGTTTAGAGTTGATCGAATCCCCCAAGTTATTGTAACAGCGTGTATTCTGCATAATTTATGTATTTTAGAGAATGATGAATATTTAGATGTGTTTGATAATGTTTCTGCATCATCTTGGAATACAACTGTCCCTGTAAATTTTTCTCAAAGAACAGAAGTGAATAGAGTTGATGGAGTAAAAAAAAGAGAACACATTGCTAATAGATTATTTTTACTGGCAAATTGTTAACGTAATTTAACAAACAAATTTCTCTTATTAAAATTGTTATATATAATTAACATGTAGATTTCTGTAATGTAATGTAATAAAACTTACTCTTATATAATGAGAGTAAAAGTAATGAAATTGTAATTTTTGTCTACTTGCCCAAGTTTGTCAAACAGATAAACACTACATTAATAAAATATTTATTAGTATACATAATTGGTAACTTCTTATGAATTGTGATTTACAAACATTACAATATAAATCTTTTAGATTGTATTAAGCATAGTTGATATAGAATAAATGTTTATCTCTATACTATTGAAATTATTGAATCTACAGAAAAGTGTTTTATTAAAAGATACTGTCCATGAGCCTTTGCAATGTTAGTAAAACACACTTCATCTTATATTTAATGCACAAACTTAAAAATATACATATAATACCAAGAACCAGTAATAATAACTAAGAAATTGAATATGCTGAAACATCCCTAAAACTTCCATCTAAAGTTTATTTCTAGATAATCCACAAATTAAAGAATAAACCAAAATTATAGTTATAAACAATATATATATATTTATTTTGTATAAAAATATGTACATAAAAGCATTTCAGTTATTTTTTCAATATTTCTAATAATTGCTTCATAACTTTAAGTTTTTCTTCTTCCATCTTTTGAAATTCTCTCCAACGTCTTTCTTCTCTTTCTTCTTTTTCTTTATCTTCTTTTTTCTTATTTTCAACATAGTTCTGAAACCATGCTGGAGGTTCTTCTTTCGATAGTTTTGGTTTTTTTGAATATGGAGTATCACTTTGGTGAGGGATTGGAGAGGATGAGGAAGAATTGTGACTAGTAGTTGCGGTAGAGTTTTCGGAAGAATTGTGACTAGTAGTTGCGGTAGAGTTTTCGGAAGAATTCGATGTGTCAATGGGTGAAGGTTGGGAGTAGATAGGGCTAGGAAGAGAAGATAACAGTGTTTCTGCAGGAGGTGATATGTTGGTTTTGTAACCGTATTTTTCATCTAATACTTGAAAATACGGCCAGGTGATGCAACCTTCGCCACTCTTTCTAGCCCTGTCTTTGTTTTTCCTATATGTTGCTATTAAATTCCTCCATTTCATATCACAGTCTTCAGCAGTTAAATTATACCCTTGTGACACCAATTTACTGTGTATTTTCATCCATAATTTTTTTTTGTTTCCTGGCTTTCCAAATTGCTCCTCAAGTGCCAGTCTTTCTGAAATGAGTAACTTAATAATGGCATCTGTCCATACATCTGTAAAATTGGAAATAAAAAAATGTCAAGAATAGCTAAACTAAAATTATTTTTGATTTTATGACATGTTCATTTGCTGGAAGACAGATGCTAAATTATATGCTTACCTCTTTTCTTTGTTGAATAATTTTGGTCTTTTCCTGTTAATGTAATACAAAAATTAATAACTAAAGTAATTCAAGTAAGTTTAATTATTATGCCTTTTTGTCCTTTTTTTATAACTCAATTTAAAATTTTATTTTGTATTACTAGTACATTCTATATATTAACAGGACTTATTATACTGGAATTATGTTCTTTATTTAGTTCACCTGTGAACTAAATAAAGAACATTATTTTTGTGAACTAAATAAAGAACATTATTTTTGAACTGTAAGACTAAATATCTGCATCCATAATTCCAGTATAATAAGTCCTGTTAATATATAGAATGTACTAGTAATACAAAATAAAATTTTAAATTGAGTTAATTCAAGTATTATTCGAAAAAAAATTTTTACCTGTATCATTTTCTATATTAGATTTATCTTCAATAAGTTTGATATCTTCAATATTTAAGTCATTAGGCAAACCTAATGACGGCCAAATATCTGTTCCAATTAAATTTTTAAAGAATTCATTGAGATAGTTGGCCTCTGAAAAAGAAAGCTTAGTATTTCAATACTGACCAAATTATACAATATAATCCTACAATCACGTTTTATTATATATTTACCTTTAAATAATCTGTCCGCTATTACATCGTCCACAGCAAGAGTGAATCGACAATTTTTATATAAAAAGTTTACTTGCTTCATGGAAGCCGCCATATTACTTCGTTGTCTACTCAACAGCGTCTAAGGTCGTTGAGTCCGTTGAGCTCAACGATGAAACAGCGCTGACGTCACTAATCTCAACGGACAACTCAACGGTCTATTTAGAAATGACGTTTTCTCACCGTTGAGTCAACCGTTGAATATAGAAACGTACGGGTCATGTTATTGCTACGGATGGAAGACTGTAAACACACAATTACAGTGGTCTAACTGAGCCTGTGTATAGGACGTTGTGTACTTAGTGCTTGTCGTTCTTCAGGTCACCCCTTGCATCCACTGGCGCTGTGATGTAAACACACAGCTAGTCAACGTGAGTCCCTTGTGTACGCAACATCTGTAGGAACAGTTCATAAGCTTACGGAGCGCATTTTTACAGCATTTAATACCATCATAGGGGAGCGTGGCTTCTTACGGAGAGTCGGACAAAACATGGTTCGTCGTTGCACATTATGAACGAAGTTGGTGGTCGTCACACAGGGCCGTGCGGTAGATTTTCTCAGTATGATGCAAGTCTTCGAAATGCCGCCTCTTAAATGCTGCTTATGCCACGCCTTAAATGATGCGTATCACGCTCCATTACGGTGCCGCCTGATGCGGCCGCATCTCTACATCATAGCACGGCACGGCTCTGTTCACAATGACGATTAAAACAAAGCAATTAACACCACTTAGACAAAATTTAAAGCGATTTATACCAAAGTTAAATACTTAATTCTCCTCACTTTATTTACTTTTGTAATTTCTGTTTTTATTCGCATGTTTTCATTTCTTATTATCAATTGAAAGAAACAAGCAGCTCTTCGCTTGCCATTCGTCATTTGCAGACAAACGACAACCCAGAACTCACCACGTGGAGGTGGCTGCTTCAAAGTTCCACCAAAAGTTGGAAAGAATGCAACTTTATAAGCGACTGACATCACTTGTCGAGTTTCATTCGTCCTAACTCACACAATGAAAATATTTATAATTTCCTCTGAATACTTCAAATTCAACTATTCGAAACTCACCGTATCGTTACTATCTAAACTAATGGATATGATATTACAACAACTAGTAATAATGAAAGAAAGCAAGCCACTAAGATCCCAGGTCATAATAAAAAGCACGTTAGGGCCACAAAATTTACTTCAAACTCATACCGAACCTCAATAAACAAAAACATAAAATTCTCACCCTGCGCGAAATTTAATAAAACGGGACACAGACAGCCTTTTCCGCCTTTTCCTCGGCATCATCTGTCTTCACCCGAGCGGGCCTTAAAGATACGGGACACAGACAGCCTTTTCCGCCTTTTCCTCGGCGTCTTCTGTTTTCACCCGAGCGGGTCTTAAACATGCGGGACACTCGGAGGGCTCTCCATCTCCCGTCGGCCTCTTTACTCGAGCGGGCCTTAAAGAAACGTGACACAGAGACCCCTCTTTGCCCCGTCAGCATCTCCTGTCTTCACCCCAGCAAGTCTTAAAGATTCGGAACACAGAGAGCGTTCTTCGCCTTTCGTCGATGTCTTCACTTGAGCGGGCCTTAATTAAATGCGGGACACTCGGAGGGCTCTCCATCTCCCGTCGGCCTCTTTACTCGAGCAGGCCTTAAAGAAACGTGACACAGAGACCCCTCTTCGCCCCGTCGGCAACTCCTGTCTTCACCCGAGCGGGCTTTCTCCGCCTTTCGTCCGCGTCTTCTGTCTTTACAATCGTCACCTACAATAGAAAAAAACGAACAATACATTGTAACAATTCGTTACGTATTGTTAGAATATATTTTTAACAACGCGTGACATATTACGATCACATCATGTTTTTACATCCGTGTTATGTAAATATATTAATCGGTTTGAAATATTTCAGAAAGGATTATTTTATTAAAATGATATTTATTAGAAACAAGATTATTTTAAATGCCATTTATGCCACTCCTTAAATGATGCTTATGACGCTCCATTACGGTGCCGCCTGATGCGGCTGCATCTCTGCATCATAGCACGGCACGGCCCTGTCGTCACACTGAACATTTACTCTAAAGTAGTGCAGCCACTGATTCGATGTACTGTACAGTTTGATTGTACTCTACTGTTTTGTCAATAAAACTTGTCATAAATACTGTATTCTGCTGTTTCATTCAGCATACCGACCTCATAGAATAGTGCAAAGTGCTGTTAAAACTTTATATTTCATTTCTGGCTGTAGGTTCCTTATATCAAAACGTTCAAAATTTCATCCTCTACAATCCCCAAATTTTTAAAACGTCATTCTGATACACCCTGTATATGTGTATATATATATATATATTACAAACTTATTTCATTAGTAAAAATGCATAGTTGCAAAATAATTCAATTTTATTGTTTGGGCTACAAACAATTCAAATCCGCTACTTTTAAAGCACAACCACGCTACTTTTTAACCTTCAGATCTGGCAACGCTGCACCAGAGGGCCTGAAGCAGTTAAAAATGGATAAGGACAATGTGGTGAGAAGAATTCTTCATGTTTTTAATGTAAAGTGTCAGATCCTAAAACAGAAGGCTAACACTTGATCGTTTTTAACATTGTGAATTGTTTTTTACTGTTTTACCTTTGTTTATAAGAAGTATATTCTTCAAAAAGGAAAAAAAACCATGTTGACTGTTACTTCTGGGGTTGTGTAAAAAGGATTAAGATAGACTCAAAAATTTTATATTTTTGTAAATAGTCTGAACTTCAATCAAGAAGAAAAATATCCTGAGTAATTACAGAAATTGTATCCATATGCAATTTGGTTGGTAATAATTATGGTAATTTATTAGAATAGGTTAGGTTAGGTTAGAACGTGCGTCCCCACTGTTTCCTTTTGTTTGCTGGAATCAGAGATGAGCCGCCATGAGGGTATACGTATCTAGACATTAACCGTAGAATTTAACCAAAATTTTTTTTATCCATTTAACTCGAATCCCCCAACATTAAATCCTGAGTGAGCCACTGAAGACAAGGGTAAGATTGCAGATGTGAATGACACTGTTGGGATCTTAACAGAGCTGTAGAGCATGTCAAAAGAGTCACGTATAGAGGTATGGTTCCTTTTGACTTTTTTGCTCCTATGGGAAGCTCTACAGCTCTGTTAAGGTCCCAAAAT